ATGTATTTTTACATAATCTAAATTTTTTCTTTTTTTTTAAATTTTTAAAATCTCTCAACACCACAATAACAACAAAAATTGTAAAACACAAAAAACAATAAAAACAACTTGTGAGCAACAAAAAAAAACTAAAAAACAATAAACGAATTAAACAAAAAAAAAAACAATAAACTCTAAAAAACTACACAACAATAACACAACCACACAACTACAAACCACATCAAAGGAGAACCTGCCCGAAGCGGACGGACATCGACCCAGACCCCAGGACTACAACCAAGGAAAACCCAGACCCAAAAGGACACCCAAAGTGAGTACTTGTTTGAAATTTTCTTCCCTCACGACCTAAAAGGAGTATACGGCAGTCAGACAGATTTTTGATATTTGCACTGACCCATATACTCAAGTCGTATAGTAGAATACAACAGTTCAACAGGTTGGAAAAAGACCTATTTTTTTTGAAATAGACCCCGACAACAACAAATAAAGACCCGTTGGTGGTGGACAGACGTTTGCGGTAACCTAGTATATAGGAAAATTAACGTTTTCTATATACTCCGTTGGAATTGTTGTATATAAACGCCATATTTTTGTGGAAATATATATGGCTGAATACATATATACATAGATACATATATATCTATACATATGTAATAACGGTACGACGCCATATTGACCCAATGGTTTTTTGGAACGCTCGAGTCCGTCCAGGCAACAAAAAGAATTCGTAACCTCAAAACGAAAATGAGTTGGAATTTATAACCTCCAACTTGTGACATAATTTTTTGAAAAACATTTTTGTCTGCCATACCAATTTCTAACCCCTAAAAATTGAAACTAATTTTTTTGGTCTGGTGGACAGACACATACACTTACATACCAATTTATAACCTTAAAAATTTGGAATTATTTTTTGAAAAAATTTTTTTCGAAAAAATTAGTCTGGTGGACAGACAGACACATACAAATTTATAACCCAAAAATTTTTGGAATTCTTTTTTGATAAAATTTTTCGAAAAAATTAGTCTGGTGGACAGACAGACACATACAAATTTATAACCCTAAAATTTTTGGAACTTTTTTGATAAAATTTTTCGAAAAAAAATTAGTCTGGTACAGACACATACAAATTTATAACCCTAAAATTTTTGGAATTCTTTTTTGATAAAATTTTTCGAAAAAATTAGTCTGGTGGACAGACAGACACATACAAATTTATAACCCTAAAATTTTTGGAATTCTTTTTTGATAAAATTTTTCGAAAAAAATTAGTCTGGTGGACAGACAGACACATACAAATTTATAACCCTAAAATTTTTGGAATTCTTTTTTGATAAAATTTTTCGAAAAAAATTAGTCTGGTGGACAGACATCATACAAATAAAATTTTTATTTATTTTTATTGAACATTTTTAGGACATCGAACTGATGTCTTTTTTTGCATAACCAATAATCTTTATTTTCCAGCTTTTTTAAATTCTTTTGCATCTGTCAAAGCCTCCGTAGCTTCGAAGATCTCGAAAGAATTTTTTTTCTGTGACCCAAAATAATTTCGAGCTTTTATAGCTGAAATATTTTGCTGGTGAATGTTTATTCGTTTTTTGAAAAAAATTTGACACAGACTCCTGATCTGGACAAACAATCAAGACTCATATTTTTTGTTTAACATACTCGCCTACTTCCAAACCCAATTTGGTCAGCATTTAACGGCGCCATCGGGAAATATTGTTTTTTTTTATAATTTCTTGGCTCTGGTTGATACAACCGTTTCCTTCAAGATATTGACACCGCCGAATTTAGCGGTTACTCTCGCCAAAGATTCGAAAGACACAATTTTCGAAATTTTGCAAGTCAAAATTTCACTAAAATTTAACTTCTTTGCGAATTTAGTCCTTTTCGCTGGGCTACTTTCTCATTTTTGACATAAATCAAAAATTTTTTTGAAAAGACTCAAGCCCAAACTTTAAAATGGACAAAACTTTGTGCGATAAATTCGCTAATTGCGTCAATGACCTCCAGGATTATATCTCTATATTTTCAATTACGAACCCGGATGACACCATACATACGCTGGAAACTACTCGGATGGAATTAAACTCCACATGGGACCAGGTTAAGAGGGCTTACGTGGAATGCCGAGACCATACTCCGGAGAAGGAAGAGAAACCCATTGACAAGAACAAGTTAAGGAAACATTATATGGAGGCAATGGACGCTTACAAAAAGGCACTGAGCGCAATAAATCTGCAGATCCAAACAGCGCTGGATAACCAAACATTGGAAAAAACAAAAAGGGAGTCGGAGAGGTCACACCAGGGGAAGGAGATGGATTTTACGCCAGTATCCCGTCTGCCACCATGCGACACAGACATATTTAAAGGAGGATATAGCGAATGGCCTACTTTTAGGGATTTATTTTCTGCAATCTATATAAAGAATTCAAAATTAAGCAAAGTCGAAAAGCTATTTCACTTGACCCAGAAGACCGCTGGAGAAGCAAGGGAAATTATCAGCAATGTTCCGCTAACTAACGACGGATTTGATTTAGCCTGGAAGAATCTTATTGATCGCTACGAGAATAAAAGGATGCAAGTCAATGAACTGATTAAGACCCTTTTTAATTTGCCTAATGTTTCAACTGACTCAAGTCAAACTATACAGAAGCTGCAGCGCACTGTGAATAGCTGCATTCAGACTTTGGAGACCCTCGATGTCGATGCGAAAGGATGGGATCCAATATTAATATATATTTGTTCGACGAAATTACCCAGAAATTTCCTGGAGGAGTTCGAGAACTCTCTAACGGATTGCAAACTTCTTCCAAAATGGGAACAATTTGATGCTTTTTTGACAAACAAATTCAAGACAATGGAATCGGTGGGGAACATAAAACCGTCCACGTCAAAAAGCAATCAATCGAAACCACCTGGAAATAATAAACCGAGATTTTTTAACTCTTTTCAAACAAATGTTTCGAAAAATGGCAACAACCCTGGAGGAAAACAAACTCATTACACTCAGCCTCAATCAAATAAGGCACCTAGTCCTCAACAATGCCAATTATGCAAAGCCAATCACTTCATAAGGGATTGCAACGAATTCTTGAAAAAGAATGTGAATGATCGAATTCACTTGGTGAAAACTTCACACTTATGCTACAATTGCTTGTCATCCAACCATGGAGTAAAGGACTGCAAAAGTCGCTTTGGTTGTCGAACTTGTACAATGAGACACCACACTTTGTTACACAAGGGAACGGAAACCCAATCAACAAACACATACCTAGCTCGAGTGGAAGCACAACCTAGTCACAGTGCTGCCACTCATACAAATCAAATACAGTCCACTACGAATCAAGAACCAACTACTGTCACTACCTTGACCCTTCAGGATACACCCGTTGAGACTCAACAATCTGGAGGAACTTTACTTTTTACAGCAATCGTACAAATTGAAGCCAAAGGACAACTTTACGATGCCAGAGCACTCATTGACTCTGGATCACAATCAACATTTATATCGGAAAAAATGAAGAATCTTTTGAAACTGCCAACTCGCAGCAACTTGGTCCATGTAACAGGACTTAGTCAATTTGTCTCGGAAACTTCAACGAAGTCTTGCCTATTCACGATGAGATCCAAATACGACCCTAGCTTTAAACTGGAGGTATGGGCTCCAGTTTTACGAACGTTACCCTCAAATCTACCACCGCAAAACTTAGATAAATCACAACTTAGAGATATTACATCATTGGAATTGGCTGACCCGAAATTCTACATCAGTCAACCCATTGACTTACTTATTGGAATGGACATCGGACCATTGATATTCACAATTGGAACACCAATGAAAATATTTGGATCAATTTTAACACAACAAACCAAATTTGGATGGATCGTTGGAGGACCCATACCAGGAAATACTATACAAAGGAATCAAATTTCATTGCTTAGCACCACATCAATTGAAAAAGTACTTACACGTTTTTGGGAGGTGGAAGAGACCCCTAAAAAAGTTTTACGGTCAGAGGAAGACCAATTTTGCGAACGAAATTTTACTGAGACAACTATACGGAATAAGGATGGAAGATATGTGGTGACTCTCCCATTCAAAAAATGTGAAGAATTAGGAAATTCTAGAAACATCGCCTTAGCTCAATTCTACAGAATGGAGAAAAAACTCATGAAAACACCCGAGATAAAGGAACAATATGATAATTCGATACTCGAATACTTAGAGCTTGGACACATGCGAAAAATTCACAAAAATGAAATTGAGAACATGCCAAATTATTATCTGCCACATCATGCTGTAATAAAACCAGATCGACTCACTACGAAGTTGCGAGTGGTGTTCAACGCTTCTTGTCCCTCAGCAAACAAAACAAGCCTCAATGACACACTATTTCCTGGACCCATTTTACAACAAGATCTGGTATTACAAATTTTAAAATGGCGATTTTTTAAATACGTTTTTAACGCAGACATCACAAAGATGTATCGGCAGATACTTTTGGATCCGACCCAAACCAAATTTCAAAGAATACTCTTTAGACAGTCACCTGACGACCCCATCGAAGACTATGAACTACTGACAGTTACATTTGGAGTTAACTGTGCACCATATTTGGCATTGAGGACTCTTCTAAAACTGGCAGAGGACATAAAGGATGTGTATCCAAGAGCCGCAAATATAATTTTAAATAATCTGTACGTGGATGATGTATTAGCTGGTGGTCACACGGAAGAAGAATCCATCGAAGCTCGTAAGGAATTAACTGCCGCTCTAGCATCGGCTGGATTTCAACTCATGAAGTGGGCATCAAACGACCACAAGATTATTGAAGATATTCCAGAAGAAAAATTACTACCTCTCAATTGGTTAGATATATCGGAAGATGCATCCACAAAGACATTGGGAATTAGATGGAATATTTCTGGCGATTTTTTCTCGTTCACACCGCCGGCAATGGAGAATCACACTACCTCAACAAAACGAGAAGTCCTATCAACAATAGCCAAATTATTTGACCCTTGCGGTTGGCTGGCGCCAGTCGTGTTGGTAGCCAAGTTAATAATGCAACAAATCTGGCTAGATAAAATAGACTGGGATGACCCGTTGAAGCCAATGACCCAAAAGAACTGGAATAATTTTGTAAAAAACAGCAAAGAAATCGAATTTCTGAAGGTTCCAAGATGGATAAGATTCACTGCAGATGTTTCCGTGGAAATACACGGATTTTGCGATGCTTCGGAAAACGCATACGGAGCTACATTATATATTCGAATCGAAAACAAAGATTATAGCACTCATACATTTCTGCTGGCCGCCAAGACCCGTGTTGCACCAATCAAGAAACTGTCAATTCCGCGCCTAGAATTATGCGGAGCGGTACTACTCTCCAAATTAGCCGCATCCATTATAAAAAACCTTCAAATAACATCATACTCGACACAATTTTGGACGGATTCAACAATCGTCCTTGCATGGCTGAAAAAGCCTCCTTGCCACTGGAATGCCTTCGTGGGAAATAGAATTTCGGAGATTTCTGAGAATGTTGGGCAAGACAATTGGAGACATGTTGATTCCGAAAGCAACCCAGCCGACATTGCGAGTCGAGGATGTTCACCTTTGGATTTAAGGACTCAGGAACTCTGGTGGTATGGACCCCAGTGGCTTAAATTACCCAAGGCTAGGTGGCCATCGTATGAAGTTCTTGAGGACACGAGTTTAGAAGCAAAAACAGTAAAAGCCTTGACCCTACTTCAAGAAAAGGATGACCCACTCAAAAATTTCTCATCTTTATCCAGAGTATATCGGACCCATGCATACGCGTTAAGATTTTGGAAAAACTCTGGGGAAAACAGGCAACATTTGCGAACATCGTCGACAGATCTTTCGGCACCAGAAGTTCAGGATGGAAAAAGGGCTAGCATAATTCGAACGCAGAAGTTCTTTTATCCCGAAGAATATAAATCACTGGAAAATAAGACCCGAATTTCTCCATCCAGCCCACTCTTGACACTTAACCCATTTTTGGACTCAAAAGGAGTTATGCGTTCAAATGGCAGATTGGTACAATCAACTGCGCTCACGTACGGGGAACGACACCCTATATTATTACCTCACGGAGCAACACTTAGCCAACTACTTGTAGACCTCACTCACAAAGTTACCCTACACGGAGGTAACCAGTTAATGACTCGAGTGCTAAGGGCCGAATTCTGGATATTCGGTCTCCCGTCGTTGATAAAAAAGACTATACGAAACTGCAAAATATGCATAATCCATAAGAAGCGAACTCAGGAACAAATAATGGCCTCCCTTCCGCCAGAACGAACCCTTTTATCCAGACCCTTCACAAATACTGGAGTAGATTTTGCTGGGCCGTTCAACATTAAGAATTTTACTGGTCGCACTTGCTTTTTAACAAAAGGGTACGTGTGCCTTTTTGTGTGCTTCGCTACAAAGGCCATACATCTGGAGCCGGCAAGCGACTTGTCATCCTATGCATTTCTTGCCGCATTTTCAAGATTTTTTAGCAGACGCGGATGCCCGTCGACAATCTACTCGGACAACGGAACAAACTTTGTTGGAGCCGTCGATCTGTTAAAGCGGGATCGATTAGCGTTTATGAAAAATTTACAGACCAATATGATCACAAACCAATACCATCAAGATCTCAATTGGAAGTTCATCCCCCCTGGTGCACCTCATATGGGTGGTCTGTGGGAGGCCGGAGTTAAATCTTTCAAAACTCATTTACGCAAATGTATTCCAAAAATGAATTTTACGTTCGAAGAGTTTGCTACAATTCTGACACGAATTGAAGCCTGCTTAAACTCTAGACCCTTAAGTCCGTCTAGCGAGGACCCTAACGATTTGTCGCCACTGACCCCGGGTCACTTTCTCATAGGTACATCTATCCTTACTCCACCCGAACCTGACATTTCAGACACGGACATTAGTTTAGTAAACCGTTGGAAGCGACTCAAAGTTATATCACAGTACTTTTGCAACCGGTGGAAATTAGAGTATCTTCATGAGCTTCACAGGCGGACTAAATGGAAGTACGAGAAGGATAACGTTAAAGAAGGGGACTTAGTGGTAATAAAAGACGACAGGTTAGCTCCTCATGAATGGAAGTTAGGTCGCATTCAGAAAACGTACCCAGGAACGGACCAAAACACGAGGGTTGTCGACATTCGGACTGCTGGTGGCAACATAAGCAGACCCATCACAAAAATAGTTAAATTGTTCTCTGACTGACTAGTCGGTCTTCACGGGGAAGAAGAACTTTGTACTCGCATCTTGTTTTTTCTTTCAGATATGGCAGCCTACTTACCAAACCAGGACTGGCGATTGGCAGAACGCAGCCCCAGCCCAGCCCGTAGACAGCCCAACCAGCCCCGTTCCAACGACCGACGACCACGGAGTAGGTCCAATGCTAGGCAGCCTCAGCACAGACCCAGTCATTGGCAGCACTCGTGCGGCTTATGTCAGGAGGACCACGCCCTCAGTGCCTGCTCCCGGTTTCGCGACCAGACCCCCTTCCAACGGTATGAAACAGTAGAGCGCCGGGGTTACTGTCGAAACTGCCTCGCGCGGAGCCACCTGGCACCTGACTGCCCTTCAGTAACCGGTTGCCGCAGATGTCAGAATCGGCACCACACTCTGCTGCACGGGGCATCGCAACTCGAGGAGAGGCCCCTAAATATCGAGGTTGCCACCGAGCCCGCCTTTGCCTGGGACCTAGTATTTGTGCCAACAGCAATGGTGCGTCTACGGGTTGACGGGATCGCGGGCTTCAAAGTAGTCAGAGCCATCCTCAGCCAATCAGCGACAATGTCTAAAATTTCCTACGCCGCTTTCCGTCGCATGGGCCTGCCGGCACGGACGTACCAAGGGGAGCGATTCACAAGTTTCACGGTACTGCCCCGACGACCCAATAGCACCAGGTCCCTCACGGTCAACGCCCGGTATACTCGGACCCGATTTTAGAGGACCCCACAATTAACTATACAAACGATGAGCTGGCTGATCCCGACCCCCGAGGCAATACACCGATTGACGTTGAGCTGGGGGCCGACACGTACTCGGCAATTCGGAGAGAGGGGTGCTCAGCCACAGGCGTCGGCGACGTTTTGGCGTACCGCACGAAACTAGGATACGTTTTCGCTGGACCCATCAAAAATATGCCCCGGACCTAAGTATAATATTTTTCTTTGGCTTATTTTAATTACACTTGGTACGCGGGGCCCAGAAATGTTTAGAAACATAACAAAAAGAAACAGCACAAAGCTGTCGTCCGAATTTTTATCGGCGGACAAATTTTTACATCCGGCATTGGAATACGGTCGCAAAAAGACCAAAGCTGGTGGTCATCTTTTTGCCGGCGGCTATATAAACATGTGCGGCATTGTGAAAATACATACATAAACAATGCAATTTTCGCACACCAACACACATATGTTTATATAGCTACCGGTAAATTCCAATGCTGGATTCCAGTAAATAGGCATTGTTACAGCTCAAACTGGTTTGCTGTGACAATGCAAATTTGGAAAAGTTTAGTTTCGTCTCGGTTACCTAATTGCGCGCAGCTACTATTGTTCCCCCCGTACCAAGTGAAAAACAAGTGTGAAATTTAAAAATTAAAAGTTTGAATATTTTACAGACACACAACACATCAAACATACAATCACAGTGACACCAAACAACAATAAGGTGAAAATACAAAACCGACAGAAAGTTACACGAAAACACAAACTCATCCCTTGAATCCCTGCCGAAGGAGTACAGAAGTTTTAATAAATAAATAAGTTAAAACTTAACCTAAACTGAATTAACTAGAACATGAATTTTTAAAACAACACTGAATTTAAAACTTATACCTAAAATTATGCTAGTTAAAATTGAATTAAAACCTAAAACTTATACCTAAAATTGTGCTATATAAAATCTAAATGAAAATGAAATACAAAAACAAACACCTTAAAACTTAAGCCTACACTGTTAAAAAATTGAAATACAAAAAAAAGAGAAATATTAAACCTAAAATAAGTTAAATTATTGTACAAAAAAAACCCTAAAGCTACAAAAAAAGAAAAATAAAAACCAAATAGGAAATGGAATGAAATATTAAACCAACAATAAATATCTTTCAATAAAAAAAGGAATTAAAAGGTTAAAAGTACAATAATTAAAGGTTTAGAAAACACACTATATATGGGAGCTATATTTAAATCTGAACCGATTTCCACAAAACATGTACATCACGCTGTACCTAATTTAATAACCTGTGCAAATTGTTGTTTCAATCGGACAAATATTGCGAGTTCGGTGCACAATTTACATAAAATTGGACAACTATATATGGGAGCTACATCTAAATCTGAACCGATGTTCTAAAATTTCAATAGAATTCGTCCTTGGGCCAAATTAGTGACCTGTGAAAATTTTAGTCAAATCGGATCAAACATGCGACCAGTACTTTGCTCACAATAATACATGGACGGACGGATGGTGATGCATAAATCGACTCAGAAAAGTTCATTTTGAGAATATCGGGTATGTTCTGGAACTCACGGTGTGTTCTTTTCACTTTACACATATACTTCACCTCAGAAGCTACCTCCTGTTCTGCTTCTCACGTGAATTGAAATTTTGAACTGCGACAAGAATAAACGTCGAAATGGTACTTTACAGAAAAAGTGTTGCCATACAATATAAAATGTATTCGTTTTCAACATTGTTTCTGTAATTTTTTTTTTTTTTTTTGTAATTTCGTTAATTCTAACGACAATTTTATTATTATTTTTTAATATTAACATAACATATATTAACATAAAATATATGTATGGAACATCTGTAATATCATTAATTTGTTGATTGATTTAAGGGGAACATTTGGTAACCTTATCTTCTTCGGCCTTACTTCAAATCAGCTGTTAGTGTCAAGCAAGAAATTCAGTTGAGGAAAATTCAAAACAAACCTTAGTATCTATTTAAAATTTGTTTTTAATGGTGTTTCATGTAATTTTTGTGATTTTAAACAAATTATACGCAATAATAAAATATCAATCTATCATCATGTGCGTTTTTTATTTCAAAACAGATTTTCTTTCATATAGAAAAACATGAATACACCCGACTCTCACTACGAAAATGTAAGTGTAAAGAATACACCTCAAATGGGTGTAAAGTGTGTTACAGAACACCTCGGCGTGTGTTCGATACACTTCTGCCGTAGAAGTGAATGCCAGAACATGCCCGTATGATTAGAAAATATTCTCAAAAGGAAACGTTGGTATGTCTCGATTCCTTTAGCCTGTTACAAACATATGCACAAAGATACCCTGTACCACAGTGTGGTGAAGGGTATAAAGATCATTATTTATGTTGCAACTCAAAAGGAAACATCATACGAGAACTTCAATCAAGTCTCAAGTGGTTGCAGCGTTCAAATTGCAACACAATGGCAACATTGTTGCAAATTGAAAATATTATTGAAGTGAAGTGAATCTCAGTATATGTACAGTGAAACTTCATACCACTAATTAATCCCTCCTTCCATCAAGATGAATTGAAGAAGTGAGGAGTGAAAGGAAGAAGTGTGGAGTGACAGGCAAAGCACAAAAGTCAGAAATGTAATGAGTATTGCGTTCAGCACTCACGCGATGAAGGCTATATAACCAAAAATTGATGATGGGGGTGCCATGGCAATTCCTTATGTTTCCATTTCTTCTCCTTACCAAAAGGACATGGAAACGAAGAATGCAATAAATTGAAGTGCACGTTAGTTATCATAATTTGCAAACATACCAGTCACTTAATTTGACTGACAGCAAAAGAAGGAAAGACAGAAATGTAGGAAATCCATATTACTTTGTAATTTTGGGGAAGAAATGTCTGCAGAGGAAGTGTGAGGATCTTAAAATAATGATTGTATATAGATGGAAAACACGTGATGGTGCCATACATTCGACAAGACCTTGTGATCTACTTAGTATATTTGCGTCATGCTCTTCCATTTGAAGAAAATAAGAATATTTAATAGACATCGTTCTTGTTGATTTGTTTTCTTGTTTTTGTCCACCTACCATTGTTATTGGCAAACGTGATTTGGTTTGAAATATTCTTAGCTATGACTTCTCTGATGATGAACACAGGCCAAGTTGTTATAGTAAAGTGTTAAGACGTGAAATTGTACAGCTCTTTGCAACAGAATGCCAAAAAATGGATTCTGTCCATCAGTTACATTGAAAAGTTGAAGAGAAATGTAAAATGCAGTACGGGAATACAATGATGAAAACGGAAAAGAAAAAAATTAAGGTAAAAACGAGCCGTGAACATTTTTTGAATTTTAATTAATTTTTTTAGCGATTACATTCTAAAGATGTTTATTGGAACATGTGATACAGTACTATAAATTTATTCCGTTCTAGAGGAAATAAGTGGAAATTAATATGTTTTAAAGTTTACATTGTCAATTGGATTCATTGTCATTGGATTCCTTTTGTAGGATTTCGTCGAAGAGACGTTGTCTATTTCGTGCCACTTTAGAGTAATTGGCTAATTGGGCACAATTATATGAAATCGGACCAAAATATATATATATGTGGGAAACTAATCGTAGAATAACGTTTGGCTCCAATATATTTCTTAGTGAGATTTCATTTGTTCAACGTCCAACATTAATAATATTTTGTATATTTCCATGAAATCATTTTGAGAGCTTAGGAAAAAAATCCGATTGTGCTGATGTTGACTTTGATGGAATGACAACTAGAATTAATTTAACCAAACCTTTAGTTGTAGTCATCATAAACAGTTGTATTGTGGCTGCAGCATTATGTTGGTACTTATAAGCACATTGCTTTGACAGCATAATATTCTGTCATTCTATTCTCGCCTAATACAATTTAACACAATTTTATTTTATTCAATTACCAACACTACAATCTTACAGACGGGGTTATGACATTAGAGGCCCGCCGAATTATTTCATCTAATGTTCGCATCGCCTACAAATACAGACTTACCAGACAATTTTTTAATTAAGGCCTATTTCGAGATATAAAAATTAAAAAATCATTAAGCTAGGGCTAGTAGAGCCCTTTATACCCTTAAAATACTTTAGAATGGTCAGAACGTCTGTACTAGGGCTTGTCGGAATATTGACATTGTGGAACCAGTAAGGAAAGAAGAAAAGTCGGACTGGGCCGACTATATGATACCCTTCACCACTTTGGGTATATTTTACGTTTTTAGATACTACGGTCCTTAATTTATATTCTCTGAAATTTTGGTAATCATCCGCCAATCCAAACCAAAGCTATAAGCAAAAATGTACTTAGCATGGCCCGTAAGATATATGAAACTCCCATACTTTGAGAGCTTCTACTGGAAAACTCACATTTCAGACTTAGCATACTATGGTTCGGAGGCGTCGATATGGGTATTCTCAATTGTTTGTTTAAAATTCCATTAAAAACAATTGATTTGATTTAATCTTTATCAATAAATGAACCGACATCATCAATCGATCAATGCTTTT